CTTAGATCGCTTATTGGTTTTGAGGTTGGTGGTCGAGACGTGGTCGGGGGGTGGGGAGGGAAGGTGGCGGTTGGTTCTTGCAAGCAAACTGGAAACGCATAAAGTTCCGTTATACCCAGGAGTTTAGTGCAGCGCGTCTTTTAAGCCATGTTATTATTACAGTGTAAGTAGAAGACGAGATGTACGTTTTACATACAACTTTCACACAACTTTCACAGAGTTAATCACCGGCGCGGCCGTGATAAAGCGCGCGTTTCATCCGCATGCACGCCTGCAAACTTCCAGCTGCCGCCTAGGACCTGATTATAATTCATGTGAAAGACGAAAGACGAAAATGTCTGTTACACGAGCTTGTTTGTTTAATTTTTTCTTTTTTTTCCCTCCGCTGTTATATTCTAAAAAGAGCGTTTCGTGTTTTCATGTTTTGTCGAGCGAGAGTTTTATAAAGGCCGGAAGGGTTTGTGGATCTTTTGATACCCCTGTTTCTCCAGAATGTTTTTGTTTCGCAAAAATCTTGTTTTCTTGTTCTTATCATTTTTAGTTGTTTTTTTAGTTGCACCAAATCTATTAAAAAACAACAACCCAGAACAGAACCGCAAGAAACATGAAATGGGAAACTGGGGTTAGAATCCGGGCTAAGATTCCATTTGATTATATCTCTTTATTTATACATTGTAGCGTCTTTTATGTGGCATGTTTTATTGCAGACAAAATAGCTCTAATCTGTGTTTGTTAAGGCTGAACGCTAGTCTTGTTCCTGTGTTTTTCTTCTGGGTTGCGAGATGACATTTTTGCTTGGTTTAGCATGTGCGTCGATTATGTACAGGTAATATTATAATAATGTCCTATTTTCTATGTAAAGCGTTATTGTATTCGGCAGAATTTTGTTTTTCTTTGGAAAAAAATTTTTTTAATAGCTTTTAAAATGGAAAACATTAGCTGCATTTGTATTGTGAATGTCGCGGCTTATCTTATGATAGATTCTAGCGATTGCAGTTCGATTAATAAAATAATATCTTGTGACTGTTGAGTTGGAAAAAGTACATTTCGACACCCATTATTAGAAATATATCGAAAAGCGTTAATGACGTCCCTGAGACCTACAATGGCCGCCACAGAGAACGGAGACGCCCAAATATCCGAACTAGGTCAAGCAAGTTGTTATTGGAGAACTAAAATTTACTTTAACCATTGATTTGACCGCAATGAAATCTTGGGAAAGGGAATTATTCTTCCTTAGGTGTAAGCTGATACTCTGACTTCTCATCGTGTAAGGACATTGCTTTCTTCCAAAAGTTCACCGACGGCGTTCATTTCGCTCGGCCTGAGCTCGTTCTGTTTACAAGGAATCACTCGCTATCCCTTGGGTTTTTCAAAGACACCTGACTGGAAATGTTCGTTTCGCGAATCCCACCCTCTATTTAGATCTAAATAGCGCTTCGTGTATGTCAAGTTTCGCACTTCATGGTGTTAATCGCCATGAAATAAAAAGCTCTCAGTTTGCCTCACCTGTTCAGAACACTCAATCCGAGTTCGCCTGCTAAATATTTCTCGAAAACTGTAATACCCGTGTTTTTGTTCTTTCTTTCTTTCGTTCTTTCTTTCTTTCTTTCTTTCTTTCTTTCTTTCTTTCTTTCTTTCTTTCTTTCTTTAAAAAAATATTCTTTTCTCAGCTAGATTGTATGAGTCTGTACACCTTACGGAGGTGTCATCCGTCTGACGTGCGTCAGAAGTCATATGAAAAGTCGTCCGACGTTTTAACGAATACAGTAAGGAGGAGCCTGTTTCATAGGCATGCCAATCACAGAGTTCTTTCTATAGGTGGGGAACTGGGGGGCTTAGGTCTGCTTTTCTTTTCTTTTTCTTTCTTTTTTTTGGGGGGGGGGGT